ACTATATGAAAATTGTTACAGCTATTTATTTCGAGGTCAGTGTTTTCAAATGTGCTCCTCACTTCCATGTGGTTGAGGAGAGCAGGGTCTGACAGTAAGGAGAGAGAGGAGGCTGCAGGGGGGATTGGGCAAAGGCAGAAGGCAAGAGGGATACCTGATTTATTTTCCTTGTTGTAGAAGTGGGAGGGAGATAATTTCAAAGTAAGCCTTCAATAATTAGATTTTATACCTGGAAAATTATAACAAATTTATACATTTTCCATATATAGAATCTAATTATTGGATGGACCTCTTATAATCAGGGTCATCTTATAGTTAAGTAAATAAGATAACTGTATATTACTAGCAGTAGTAAAGTAGCATTCATAATAGTCAAAACAAGTGAAAATAATTTTTAAAGGGCTTGATATGTTTGGTTTACTAAATAGAGACGTGACTTGATTATGGTGTATAACTACCTTCATAAGGAGAGACCATCAGCATGAAGAAGAAATTAAAGTCTGACATCAGGAAGAAATTAAAGTCTGACATGGAGCAATATCTAGAAGTTTAAGCCAGGCAAATTCAAAACAAAAGTCAGGCCCCAATTTTTAACCATGATGACCAACTACCAGCACAAACGATCCACAGAAGTGGTGAATATTCTCCATTCTACTGAAGAGTTTGGATTTAGACTGGACTGGCAAACAAATTACTGAACTTGACATTAAGGTCACTGGGTGACATGCTGTTGCCAGTGTTATGTTAAATAAATTAGTGGCCCATTTAGCCCTAAACATCTATTAATCTCTTGCACTTCTATATAGTCTTTATTATAACATTGACCGAGCATTTTACAAGCACGATTTAAATTGCAGCAAGATTTATATTAGAATTCTCATTTATGAAAAGATAAATTAAATCACAGAGATAGTAAGTGGATTTTCCAGGCTCACAAATAAGACAGAACCCACGAATCCTGACCTCAGAGGCTCCTCGGGGCTGCAGATGTAATATTAAATGCGTAGTTGAGTCATCTGGAAACTTGTGTGATAGACTGTGAAGATCAACGTAGGTCACCAAGGTAGGCCCTTTAAACCATATTCTGGCACCAAAGTATATGGCTTGATTTTCAGAAGTGCTGACCATCTCCAGTTCCCTTTGAAGTTAATAGTAGTTGGAGGTGTTTGGCATCTCTGAAGATAGACCACTTCCAATCCAAAAGGATTCCTTTGAAACCTGGGTCTGAAAGCAGTGCTTGTAGCTTATTCATAGTTGAATCTGTAGGTTTAACTTAGGGTATTCAGGAAGCAGTTGGACAAAGTTTGTTTTTAAGCCCTCCTTGCATTCTCTTGATCCCTGGGATTTCAAGGCTCAATTGAATACAAATGTAAGGTAAAAGAACTTAGGAGAAGGTGTCCCGAAGTGGCCATTTTGGGCTCAAGAAGACAAGAGCACATTAGCACTTTTGCACACACTACACACCCTGGGCAAAATCCCTGCATTAGCGGTACCAACCCTAAGCCAACTACATGTTAGGGAATTCCTAGGTAGCTGGATCTAATCAGGCTACAGTGAGCCTCCAGAGAAGAAGCAAGTAGCCAAAATGTGTTCACACTGGTCAACAACATGATAAGGGACAGCATTTAAAAGCCTCCCTATTTATGGCTCTTTGTTTACATTTGTTTCTCCCTTACCCTGAAAAAAAAGGAAACTCATTCTGAGTCAGACAATGCCATGTCCAGTACCCAAATAAAACACTCTCCAGGGAAATCTGAGGTGAGGGTGGAAAGAGAAAATCCTCTAAGAGAGATTTCTACAGATCCTTCTCTCTGTGTATGGGGGAAGAGTTATCTTTCTTCCTTGCCCAAGCTGCAGAATCAACTGTGTGCACCACCAAACCCAACTAATTTGTTCTAGCACTGGGACCGGTGGCATTTCCTTGCCCTGTATGCTTCTAAGGCTAATCTTATGGATTTACACTGCCAGAGCCTCCCATCTCAGGGAAGTCCTCCAGTTCAAAGGTTTCTGCCTCTGGCTGGCTTTCTAAGCTCTACAGGGTTGATATAGTACCTTGCAGCCCTGCCCTACACAGTCTCCCCAGCTCCAATCATATCATACTGGTAGGGAACATGATCTAAGCTCTTTCAAGAATTACTTGCACTTGCTGATCCTCTCATACTTAACATATTCTGTGTTGTTTTTGTATTTCCTACATGTGAGAGAATTGTTAAAATCAGCCAGAAAAAAACAATAAATCCCCCTCAGTTTTTAAAGAGTTAGGAGGACACTTCTACCCAGAATTTTTAGCCCATCCATTCTTTCCAAAACAGACTGTAGAAGCTAAAGTATTTGGCAGTGTTCCTTTAAATAAGTAGATAAGAAGCTGAAAAATAGCTCTTTTTATTGACAGTGAATTACTTGTATATCCTTAACTCACCCACTAAATGTAAGTTTGACAAAAAAAAAATTCTGTGAGCACTGGTACATAGTTAATCTGCCAACATCCTTTTAACTAGAAAGCTTTGATCATACTAAACACTGCATAAAGTTAAAAAACACAGCTTCTCCCCACTCCCTACAATTTATCTATTGACTGGTATTTAGTACTATTGTGCACAATGGAGAAATCTAATTTGTGTATTTGTTACAGTTTCATAGAAAAATAGGGCTAGAAGGGATTCGTCCTTTTAAAAATATTGCATACAATCTACACAATCAACTGAAATATGAGCAGTTTGCAACTTGGACAGTTTTTACATGAAATACAGTCTTCCTGTTTGCATCGAATGGGTCAGACATCCCTGATTGTAACTTCAATGAAATCCAGTTATGCAAGGGAGTAATATGGTATAGAGGGTCTAAATATAGAATGGTAAATTTGGTGCATAAACAAGACTTAGGAAATAATGTACAGGCCTAAGTCTCAAACAAGAGCAAGTGTGATTTTGTAGCCTAATGTTTAGACCATTCAGGGGCAGCAGAGGTCCTGAGCTCTAGTTCTTGCTCCTAGAGCTATTTCTATTTACTACCCAGTGACTACCTAAAATGGAACCAGAATCCAGGCTCCCCCATCCCAGGGGTATGCTGTGACCATTGGATACAGTCAGGCCTCCCTTGACTTCCTCGTTCCAGTCCCATGATTCTTGCATTCATGATTGCACAGTAGCCCAGCTGCAGCAAGAGAGGTGAAGGATACGGTGCGTGCACTTGGGCAGTGGGAGATACAGGCTTGAATCACATGAGGCTGAGAAGAGCACAGAACCCAGTTTTCTTGGGTGAGAGCTCTAAATGCAGGATTATTATTTTAAAGGTAAGTGGTGGCACCACTGCCATCAGAACAATGATGTTTTAACAAGAGTAAGCCCATCTCAAACACCCGGCCTCAGCAGAGGACAGGGTGCTCTGAATCCTGAGTGGATGGAGGCTCAGATATGCCCCTGTGCTTAGTGTTTCCCATTGGCTCACTCTAAGTGGACTCCCACTTATGATCCATTTCTGGACCTCTCTTTGGAGATATCTGACTCTTCCCATTGACTGTACAGGAAATGTAGGCATCTAACTCACCCTCCTGGAGCCAGGCATCTAATTTTTAGGTGGACTGAAACACAAGTTGGAAGTGCCTAAGGAACCGGTCTGGATTTTGTTCTTAGATGGTCTCTTTCAATGGGTGGGAGCTGTCACTGGGAAAGCTAATAGTATAGCCAGGCAGAGCCCAGCAAGCTAAATATCCAATATGATACCTCTAACCATTGTGATACCAGCCAGGGTTTGGCAGCCTCCTCAAAAAGAGAAAGGTAAGTGGTGAGAGAGCTCCTTTGGAATCACAGAGACAGGTGTGTGTGTATGTGTGAGAGACTGTAAAAGCTGAGAGTGAGGGAAGGATAAAGAAAGTACTGGGGAATTATCCAGTTGGGGTAAGAGGAAGGATGGATAAAAATGGAGATGGGCTATTAGAAATGGAGCCTCAGGTTTTTTGATACACATTTAAATTGCTCAGGAGTTAAGGCTCCAAACTCCAACCTTTTAAGAGATTTATGATGAATCAAGTCAAACAAGACAACGCATTTTTTACTTTTACTTTTTTTCTCCCTTTCAGAGCAGTCGTGCTCATAGCCCACTATATACATTAGTGCTAAAGTTCATAATCCTGGTACCTCCTGTTTCTATCTCTGTCCTGTGCCTCCAGCTACAAACACTAGGCAGGCTCAGGGATCTGTTCTCCCACAAGACCTCCACATATTGAACTGATATGTGTGTTGTGCACACTTTGCAGCACTACAAAGCACAAAGTCTATCCTGTTACATCTATATAATTACTTTAGCAGAATTTTTGGGGGGTTGTACTAGTTTAATTGGTGGTCAAATTTGGCCTTCTGCCTGCAGATCATCCTGGCGAAGTAGTTGTGCCTGGAGTAGTCATGAGACCCTAGCAACTGGGGACACTTGTTCCAATTCAGCTTTATTCTCTAGGCTTTCCTTAACCTTCTCATGGAAAATCACTAAACATGCTCTCTCCAAAGCCCCTACACGACAGTTTCCCCTTGCAGATTGTTGGAGCTTCCAAAAGTCCTCCTGAAAGCAACTATTGTAGGAGGAATGGGAGATTAGCAGTGCATGTGTTCTTGCTATCATCTCTATCATTTTGTGTTGCTTGCTGTCAGTCTATGTAACAGCATTAAAGCTAAGCCTCCAAGAAGATTACTGTGTAGCACATAGCCCACCCTTTTCTTCCACTTAGGGGGTAGGTGGGAGAGGTGTTTAGCAGTGGGTAGGTAAGGAGGAAGATGAGAGGCTCAGAATGAAAGGATAGGCATTGCTTGCTTCCTGAAGACTGGGAAAAAATAGAATATTGCTATTAAGGAAACCAGGTTGCAAAAAAACACAGATTAAAGCAGGTGCTATTCATGAAGCTTTTAATTTTTAGTTTTCCATTCATCACTATGCACTTTTATTTCTAACCTTAGCCTCACAGATGATGCCAGATTTGTTCTGTGATTTGTCCCCTTTTCCTCCTCCAGATGTCCAAATGGATTCTTCGGACAGAGGTGTTTGGAGAAACTGCCTTTGCGATTGTACATGCCAGATCCTAAGCAAAGTATGTTTGAAGACAAAAAGTGCACCACACTACCTAAAACTCCTGGGCACAGCGCTGGATGTAGAGGGTCTAGTCAGGGGTTTATTTTGATCTATGGGTTAGGGTTTAGGGAAACAGGTAAGGGACTAGCCTGAAAGCAAATCCATAGGAATCTTGGAAGGGATCTGAGGTGGCATCAGAAGGGGCCTCATTTCAGTCTGTTTGGATGTCATTTTGCTACCCTGTTTCTCTCTTTCTGGTTTTCTTTCTTCCGTTAGGTGTCCAATCGAATTCACAGGGGACCGGTGTCAGCACTTCGCAATGGTCAGCTTCTCCAGTATGTCTCTTTCTACTTCTCTCTTTCCCTGTTCGTCTTAGCACTATATGACATCTCTAAAACAGGTTCTTCCTTTCCTTAGGGCCCCATTCTCCTCTTTTTATGCATATCTAGCTCTGCTGGCATTAATGGGAGCTACAGATGAGTGCTGCTAAGAGGAGAATTAAAGCCCCTGCCATCTTGAAATAATTTTCAATAGGTTCTTCTTTCATTTCTAATTAAATAGAATTTAAGATTATATTTTGCTTTTTTCATACAAAATCCAATTAAAGCAAAGATTCTACAGCATGTTGTGTGAGAACAGCCTGTGTCTATTAGCATTGTTATCATGTGATGGACTGTTGGCCATAACACCAAGGATTCGTTTCTGGACCTTTGTAAGTGTGATCTGAGAGCTGCCTGTATTGATCTAGGAATCAGGTATGCATGTAGATTGTGTTTACATATCCAGTAGCCAAGGCAAGGTTTAGTCACTATGAAAGTAAGATTATTTGTGGCTAGTTTGCTATCACACTCCCAAGTCTTCTCTGAGTACCAGATCGTGGCTCTGCAGCCTGTGATGTTCATGTAAGGGTCTGTCACAGTTGCAACATTTCTTGTCTGTCCCAATGTAGATTAGTAGGAAGCACAGCTACAAATACAGCCCCTACCCTGCCCACTTGGGATGGGATCAATGCAGTGGAGAATATACAAAGCTTGTGTTCATGTGACTTAGCAGTATGTCTTGTATCTGACACAGAATTGCTCCTACATCTTCCCATGAGGAGAGGTAGTCCCATACGCATCCAGTGTTGGTTTATGTTTAACTGGATGATGAAGTCTTTTGATTAACCTATTGAGACACACTCCTCACACCAGTGTCATTGTCAGCCTTGCCTGAGTAAGAACTGATTAAAAATTCAAGGCCAAAGTCTGATCTCAGTTACATCAGTGTAAGGACTGCGTTATACATTATACTGTGAGCTGTTCAAATGTTGGTCGGTGTTAGCGCTAGCACGAGTTTGGACCAGTCACACGTTCAGGCCAGCGGGGGCCTGGAGGACTGAAAGGTAAGAATTCCCCCTTGCCTCCCCTCCCATTCTGGGCTTCCCCACTGCCCTTCCCCACTCCCGTTCCCACCCCTGCCCCCAGGGTCCCTCCTTTCCCTCTGGGGCTCCCCCTCCCCACCCCCAGGGCACTCCCCTACCCTTATGTGTAGCTGCTTGTGCTGTCTGTCCTGGGTGAGCAGGCAGGGCAGGGTTAACTTGTCTGCCCAACTCCCACCACTGATACTGCTGTGCTGCTGCTATTTGGGCTGAGCCCACCCAGAGAGCAGCAGCAGTAGGAGTGGCTGGCCGGCAGGCAGACAGCCACCTTAACCCTCCCCTGCCTGCTCACCTGGGACAGACAGTGCAGGTATTCACAAGTAAGCAGTGGGGGGGTGGGGGGTGCAGTGAGCAGGGATCTGGCTCAGTGGAGAGGGCAGGGGGGGCAGTGGGCCCTATGCAGGCCACCAGGGGTGGGGAGGCAGGTGGGGTGTTTACACTAGTATGTAGCCTTTAGTGGCTACACATTAACTGAGTAACACAGAGCAGAGATAAACGTGGAGTGGCATAACTTTAAGCCACCCTAAAGAGTGTTTAAAACCGGTTTCAGGTGTTAATGTGCAGACAATCCAGGGGTTAAGAGCACCAAGAGCTGTCTAAAATTAATGTGTAACAAAGCCCTAAATCAAGTGTGATGTCTCTGCTACTGTTGGTGAACTGGTAAATTTTCAGTTGAAAACAGGGACTTCTGACTTTGTCTTTTTCAAAGGTCCAATTATGTAGCCTTTATACCAAGCAGTATTTACATACATAGCCTAGTTGATGTCAGTGGGACAGCTTGTGTGAAAATACAAATTCCAGAATTAGTTCCTGAATTAGAAACTCAGCTAAATGGAACATGTAGGTATTGTGTTCAGTAAAGGAGCAATCCCAGATGCTGGCTCTCCTGTTTCTACTTGTGTTTCTGTTGAGCTCTGATAGCTCATTTATTCATTCAGAATTTGTTTATTTGTAAGTTTTATGCATGTGGGCTAGAGGATGTGTACATGTTTAGCTACTTAGCTTTTGTTTGATTTGTCCATCATGTGCAGAGTGTTTTTTTTTAATTGCACAGTTCTGCTCGCTATTACTTGTGTCTAATTTCCATCAAAGATGAGCCTTATGCTTAAAGCATATCGGAGCTTTATAAGCGCAACTTTATTCTTCATGTACATAGTGGTATCTGAGATCTATGCAAACAGATTCCAAACGCAGATTACCACAATCTCTCCTTAGACGTATAATAGCAGATACTGGGTGTGTCTAACATTAGTCTGCTGCAATAAACTCTGATGCTTATCGTACTGGAGTTTATTGCTCCCGGGTGCGCATTTACACATTTGCTCAGGATCACAATTTGTTGAACCAGGTCAGAGCAGCTCTGGCTGCTAGCCTGCTAGCTGGGGCTGCTTCCCCTGGCTCAATGTGCTATAGAGGGGCTGGCTGGGGCATGAGGGTATTTCAGCTTAGGGTTAGCTGGCAGGCAGCCCCTGCACTGAATCACCTTTGTGCCCCAGCCAGCCACATCAGCGTCTGCATATGTGCTGCTGCAGAGTTTTTTACTCTGCGGCAGGATAGTACTTGTATTTACAAGTATTTTACTTGTATTTACAAGTACTTGTATCTACCTGTAAATTAGTTTACTCCAGCCTAATAGGGGTGCACGTGTAGACATGCAATGTTTACTGCATGGCTAATTAATCAACTGCACAGTAAACGTCTCATGTAGACGTGCTCACTGTTACTAAATATGTAGTACCAACCAGCAAATGTTAACGTAATGATCACTTTTATGTGCAAATACAGTGTAGTAAGCTTTGTCTATCAGGTTCTGAATAGAGCGGAGTAAAAATTCTGTGAGAACCTCTGATATTTTAGGATTTGATTCTATCCTAAATTAGGAAATACCAAATTTTTGGCAGACTTATGCATTCCAAACATTTCAAATTGGAATGGCAACATTTGTGTTTTATGATTTTTTTATTGTGAAGATGGTCTAATATTTTCCCCATCAAAATATATTGTTTTGGTCTGTTTTTAGTCCTGGCCTGAAATGTTTTGAGTCTGAGGCTTCCATTTATCCCATGACTGAGTTGCACTGCATCATCCTGGTGAGAGGAAATTCTGCACTGCACCCAGGGAAATATATTCAGTTGGAGAGAAATATCATCTTTTTGCAAAGAAGTTCTGTTACTTTCCTCTAACAAAACCACTTTTTACATACGCAACGAGTTTTCTGTTGTAGTGGCAAATAGCATATTCAGGACAGGAACCAACCATGGTCTGGCTGTTTTGCAAGCTTACAGAATTCAGTTTTTCTTTGGTTGTGAGAATAGTTTATTAAATTTATGGTTAAAGAGATACCTTCAAACTTAATATTGCATATTACAAAAAATAAATACATTTCTTTACTTACATGATGCTCATGACACAGAATATTATAAGCGAATACTTTTTAAAAATCCAGGTTACCTTTCGCTAATGTGGATAAAAAATATCAAAGAAATTACTTTCACATTTGTTTATAGATGCTTTTACATTCAAGTTCCCAGCACTGCCATATTTGGATGATAAATAGGTTTTAATTTGTGCCAAATGGAAAAACTAAGATAATTTCATTGGTTGTAGATTTTATAACAGCTATTTTTAAATGAAATTTAGACATTAAAACAGAGGCAGGCAATTATTTTGGCCAGTGTGCCACATAGGCAGTCATGAACGACTCATGTCTCCTGAGGCTGCAGGGGCACAGCGACCTCCTGCAGGCAGTGATGTTAATGTCAGCGGTGGGGGCATGGTGATGGCGAGCGGGGCCAGTCCAGAGCAGGCATGGAGCAGGCCAGGGCTGTGAACACAGGTCCCCACTAGTACCATGGGGCTGGGGCCAGCGGGAGCAGCAGCCAGAAGGAGCCACCACTACCTGGGCTGCTTAGAAATGCAGTCCAGCTGCATGCCCAGGGGTGGCAGGATATGTCATGGCCCAGATGGTACCTGGACTAGGTGGGACTGAAGGACCTGCCACGAGCTAGACAAAGTTCCTTCATTTGCCAAATCCAGCCTGCGGGCTATATTTTGCCCACATTAAAAGCTGACATTGTCCCTTTAATTATCTTTTGCACTTCATCCCACATGGGTTATTGACAGATCAGAAGCTGAAACAAATTAAATCAGGTTCAGGAACAGTTTCCAAGGAAAATGAAAAAAGACGTGCTTTGTGATTCATATTCCACGCACATTGTCAGCACTTAACAAATAATTAGATAAAACAATAAAGAATTATGACCACTTTAAAGCCTATTAAGTGTTTATTAGTTACTTTTGATACTCAGCTCCTGACTGGACTCTCTTGATGCTACTGTAAAATTAATAATATAGATGCCTGTTATCAGGTATAACCAAGAGGTTGAGGGAGATTCCTTACAAATGGTAATAAATTCAGGACTGCAGCCTGAAATGAAGATAACTGACCCCTCTGCTGAATCTAGGCCAGATACTGAAAAGGTTGCATTCTTACCAATAGCCTTAACATGCCAGGGGGTGAGTGCCTTCCAAGAGCAGCAGTACATCCTCACATGTCACTGAGCCAAATTCTACGTTCCCTATTCATTTTTTACTAAGAT